TTTGGAATCGATAAAGTTGTAACGCGATGGAATTACTATAATTTCATTCGGTGCAGTTTTTATTTTCCGTATTAAGTAAATTCCGTAAATGGAAATGGCGGGGAACAGTCGATGCGACGCCGGTAATTTCCTACGGCTCAAGGCAGAAAATTGCGTTGGCGCACTTTTCTTCGACTACTACACCAGCTTTAACGAGTTTACGAAATGAATGTTTTTGTTCTCGTAGGGTCGACGCCCTACCCACTATATACCGTCTTAAATAGAATGAGAATATTTGTATTACGAAATTAGGTGCGTGATGGCCGTGCTGAACAGTTGTTCCTCGCATAATTCGTTCGCCTCTCGCATGTTCTTGTGCAAAAGGGTGAACGCCCCCATGTGCCTGTGAAACATCGATAATTGAACGGATCTAGCATTACGAGAGATTTCTCTTGTAACGTGTGAAATAACCTTACCTTAGACCGGTGCAATCTCGTTTTCGATAGGAAAACGACAAATCGACGTCCTCGTAATTCTTTATCGACTTCTGCAAGATTACGTTTATTTGTTTATTTGTGGTGTGCCACTCTTTGAACAAACGAGATTTTTAATATTCGATTTTTTGGTTTATTAGGTGTTAATTTTAGATAAAAATAAAGTGGGGAATATTAATCATCAACCATATCGGATTATGTGTCAATAGTTAGTTTATATTATGTGTAAAAACTACACATAAGAACAAAATTTAATATCAAAAGTTATTTTCCTTAATAAATCGAATCTTAAATCGAATCTTAAATCGAATCTTTTGATAATAGGTTAAAATGATCATGATCGTCGTTTAGGGTTAAATTATCGTTAAACATATTGATTTGATTACAAATTCTGCTAATGAGATCTACAGTAGCAAAATTGGAAGTGTAGTTTTAAGAAAACTTTAAAAATGGATCCGAATATTCTTAAGTTCACACTTATTATAAATATAAAAGTTGAAAGATTGTTCCAATTCTTATTCTTAAACGTATATTAAATTGGCGATCATAAATTCCGTATTTAATGATAAAATCATGAATTCCAATGTTTCTCTCTCTCTCTCTCTCTCGAAAATTCTCGTATATTCTCGATTTACTCGATCTATCGTCGAATTGTTGATTTCTTTTCGGGAGGGGGAAAAAAAAAGAGGGAGTGAGGAACGGCGAGCATCGGGTCACAAAGAGATGCGTTTAACGAGAAGAAATGTTAGTAAGGGTAAATTGAAGCCGAACGAAGTTTGCGTAACTTTGAACCGGAGTTTATGGAGAGGGTAAGGGAGAGGGGACACGAAAGGGGATCGGGTCTGGGAAAAAGTGGAAGTAGAGCGAGACAAGAAGAGAAAGAGAAGTAAAAATGAACTGGCGGGTGAACGTGGGAAGAAGGCACGAGAGGTGCGCGTGGCCCAAGTGGAGCACGGAGTCAAACACCTATCCAGGATATCTTTTTCCAACTTTTCTCCACGGTGATATTATTGAATTATTAAACCATCGTTATAATCTTGTTAGAAGTATCTTCGCGCCTTTTTTTTTTTACCAACTTTCTCTACCGCTGATAAATGACGCAACTTCTAACGCGATTGTATTGCGCGTAAATTGCCATGTAGTTTACCGATAATGGTTAAAACTGTTTGCAACTCCGTAACTGTTAAAATTTCTCCATTCACTCGGATCGAGAGAGATCGAGAGAGAAGAATCGAAAATATGGAGGGGGAGAGATCGATTAAGTGATGTCGTCGAAAAACGAGAGAATGGAGAATGACACGGGGGATGAAAAGAGAGAAGGAAAAGAGGGAGAGAAGAAAGGGAAAAATCGCACTTACCTTTGACGGAATGGTTGATATCATGGTAACGTTGTGTCCACGGGCCGCCAAAGCTTTCATCAATGCTTGAAAGGGTTGCTGGTGGCTGTAGCTCGCGCTGGGACAAATTCCGAGAATGTTGAACCCAATGGCTGGCGAGAATTGACGAAAGAGTAAAAGCACCAACGGCAGAGACAACATCTTGTTTCGCACCGTTCAACCAACGTGTATTTCGAGAGGCGCTCGAGAACCACGGAGAAAATAGTCTTTCAATTTTTTAAACGGGAATCGAGGTTGCTGGTGTTACGCCTTTTGTAGGAATTTCTAAAGGGTATGTGGTGGAGCGGAAGAGGGATGGAAGAGGGAGGATTGGAGAGAACGATCTTCCCGTGAAAAATTCACAACATGTTTCACGATCAGTTTGCTCGGGGCCACGATAAATAAGTGAACCGCTTGTGCATCGGTCGCGTGTTTCTCGCACGGGTTGCCGGAGAAATAATGCAAACTCCCCCCGTTTCGGCCAGTGACAGATATTTTTATACATCACATGAAACATAAAGGCGTCATTCAGAGATTATGGAGCATTTCATAGAATCTATTCCCTTATCGCTTTGCTTAATGCGTTGTAAAAGGCGATTCTTTTTCAAGGTCATCATCGTATATATCGCGTAATAATATTCTACGTCTTCGTACAAGATGCCAGTAAGAATTTAATAATTAATATTTGTTTTTTGCGAACAATTTGATAACTGAGATGTTTCGAAGAGAGTGGAATCTGTCACGAATTCGTAATTTGACGAAAAATAAAATATATAAAACGATGGCTTGGGTTATCCAAAGTTTAGTTGGTAATGGATAGGATAGAAGATCATAAAGGAATCGATTGTTCGCGGAAGAGTAAACATGGTGGGGATTTTCCTGTTCGAACGGGTTTCGAAATTTACATACGTTAAATTGAAATGCGCGGAAAGCGGTAATAAGGAAAAAGGAAAAGCCGTATAGGAAGAAGAAACGTGTCGGGGTGGAGACGAATCGGCGAGAATCGCGCCATTAGCTTCGATGTACGCTTTTGCCTCACCGTCAAGAGAATAACGCTCGGTTCAGCGTACGGAATGATGCGGTCGCTGGGGTTGAAGAAAAATTGGTCCACCGTCTCTAAAGAAAAGTTTCAACCGAGAAAAATATCATCTGTTCTCGCGAGAACTATGCCACTTTTTCTTTCTTGCTGATTTCGCTCGTGTTACAGTATCGCGAGCATATAAATACGTAAGCGGCGATCGTGCAACGTCTGTTTCACGTACCATCGACCAGTTGTTGTATCCGTTGCAACTTTGCTCTCGTAATTTTCTCAAAAAAAAAGAAAAGAAAAAAGAAAGAAATAAAGAGAAGAAAAAGAAAAGGAGAAGGGAATAAAAAAATAGGCAAGGAAAAAAAGGTTAACGGACGAAAGAATTGACTCACTGGCGTGTAAATGTATCTCGTAACCGTTAATTAAAAACTTGGAACGTTACGTCATTAAACGTTGCGCAGATAAACGCTTGAAGGCGAAAACAAAAGATTTTTGCATGGCTGGCGTAACTGCGGGCTTAAACGCGTCGCATTACTTAGAGTCGTAATAATATCTGTATACACAGAAGAGCCTCGTTAATTCGAGATATTGTGTGCACCGTCTCATCGTGAAGGTGCTCATAGTTTGCGCCGGTTGAAAAAGTCACGAGGATTCGTCTTTTTAATCGGTCTCCCCCCTTCCTATTTACAACCGGCCATACTCGAAAATAATCGTTCTTAATTTTAACGACATTCTCAAGACGAAACGTCTCGTTAACCGACAAGGTGACAAAATATCCCTCCGAACGATCCGCTCTCCTCTTCTTTTGCAAGTGGTCTGGGATTCCGTGCTCGTGAATGTTGACAAGTTGGGGATTCTTGAACGCGTGTAATAAGCTACGTTACGATCTTAAAGATCCCGACGCGATGGGAAGGCGGAAAATTCGAATCGCGTGTCAGAATCAGATGCGTCTGATAAGGGTTGAAAGCGGTTGCTGACAGTTAAGGGAGCTCATCTTGAAACTCGACAACAGGTCAGAAACGAGAAAGGGGCTCGTCACGGCGAACACACGGAGGACACAGAGTCCAATAAAGGATTTGAAAGAACTTTTCCGCGTCAAAATCCATATTCCCTGAAATTCTGTGAGGGTTTGTGAGACACGCGCGAGGAGGGTACATATAAACGTATTTTCGGGAACGATTTATTTTCTGGGAATCTATGCGGGCGATTGGACGCGCGATGCTCGATGTTATCGAGAGTGAGGATATTAGCATCTATTCAATGGTACGAAATGATAAACGATAGGGCGACCGAGGGTGGAAATTCGGTGGACATCGATGATCGATCAATTTGAAACACTTGGAAAATTTGTGACCCGTAGTTTAAATCGCTCTTCGAATAATCCAACGTGTTCTATCTATTCTATAAGTGAAATGTACGAGAAGATGAGGGATGGACAAGGAGTGGAGGGAGAGTGGAACGCTTAAAGGGGAACGTTGTGGGAGGGAGTGGGATGGAAGGAAGGCAAGATAACTCGTGTCAAGTCGCAACACGAGCCACGGTTTAATACAATGCCATGCGAGAATGGTGGTAAGAGTGAAATAGAGGCTTAACACGGTGAAAGAGGGGATTGAATGGGCTTTCGGAGAAAGAGAGAGAGAGAGAGAGAGAGGAAGAGTTCAACCCCGACAGCAAAATGCTGCGTGTGTCACTAAGTAAGCGTCTAGATTTGCTCGTCCTTTTCTACCTTCCGGAAAAGCCAGTAGACTGGTGGAGGATGTGTCAGCTTCAGCTGTGTTATGTTTTGCAAGATCCCTCCTCCTCGGTTTCTCTCGTCTCTTTTCGTTACGTTCTACGGTTCTCTTGTATCTTCCATCTCTCGTATTTGGATCTCTTTCCTTCCAGAACAGTGTCTACGATCTCTTTGTCCCTTGTATTCAGTTTCTATCGTACGATTGTACAGCACCCACTTGCGGATCTCTTGCCTTAATCCTCTTTGTTTTCTCTCTCTTCCTTGTCGTTCCTTTTAGACGACATCCAGCTGGGTTAAGGGGAGAAGGATCAGAAGGAACAGGAGAAAGAGAGAGGGAGAGTTTTTGCGACTAAGCTTATGTAACCGAAATTTAGGATATCCGTGGTTAACTTCGGTAACCGCAACGAGCCTCGAAGAAACGCTCGCTCGTCAGAAATTTTGTTCCGTCTTTCTTGCACCTCGTCTCGTTCTTGCTCCTGTGTAAGATTAGCGTTACACGGATATTCGATATATTACTCTACATATTTTCCGCGGGTGAACAAATTTTCGATTTTGCTACTTCTGAAAAATCAGAAAGAATTCGAAAAAAAAGAAAAAAGTTGGAGCAACGTTTTTTTTCGGACAATCCACTCCAGTAAGAAGATACGGAATATCCGTCAAGCGTGGAAAGCGTTTCGCTCATTAACAAGTATGCTCAGTGGCGCGAATCATTTCATTCGGTCTCCGACACAGAACGGGCGGCGTGCACTCGCATAGTAGACGCGGATGCTGATAGAGGCGCCCGTTTCTCCATGTACACGTGTATGCAACGGGAACTTAAGTAGCCGTGATTAGAGTTCTCGTGGGAGCGTGGAAGGGGCTTAAGGCGTCCGCGGATACGCGATTATATATGCCCAAGTACATATTTCCCACGCGTATGGTTTCTTTACGAACTGGTAGATGAGTTTACGGGGCGACTAATGAAATTATTTCTGGTCACCGAGCGCCATAATCGTGTCAGGAGAACTTTCCACGTTTCTGTGCCGCGACAAGAGCCATCCGGCTTGGAACGTTTTCGCATGGCTCTTTGCGCTTCTCCCGACCTACCCAAAGATAAATATTTGCGAGCCCTCCATTACGCTTTATGGAATATTTTTTCCCCTCTTCCTTTCTTCCTCTCTTCCTCCCCCTCTCCCCTCTCCCCTCCCTCCTTTCTCTCTCATTTCTCTCGCGCATCGCGTCGCATCGCGCCGCGCGACCCGTATAATCATCGCGATTTTCTCTTGGCCGCTTGGCAAATTTTGCCGGACCCATTGCGAGCAAACCATCCGTCCGTATTCGCTTCCACGCTCTCCCTGCTTTTCTAAATTCCCCGTTTCCTTTTTCACCACTTGACCAACCTTCCTCTCCTAATTTATTTCCGCCAAGTTCGAGCATTCTTCACTGCGCGAAGATTTTCCTTGACACGATCACGAATCCAGAAATTTTTTCCCCGGATGAGTTTACGTATTCCATACAGTCTCTTTGCTCCTTTCTAAACCTGTTCGAATACGGACAAAGAGGGAGGGAGGACGGACGAGAGAGATTCCTCGAGAGATCCGCCAACTTTCCTTGCTTTCGATGGTTTATTAAGCACCGGGATCGCGTTCTCGACGTCGTTCCTCGAAAAACTTCGTTATCCGTCGCGTTTTCCCTCCCTTCTTCCTTTTTCCTCCGATACATCGATCCGATTTCGTCCTTTTAAAGTGGCTACTTTCGCCTGTGCGCCAGACTCTAATCAGAAAACGAAACAAATCTCAAAGGGATGCGCTTGGAGCGCAGCATAGAAAGCGCAACCCAAACTTTCCAACTAGTGTCGAACTTTTATCGATACTAGTTGGATCGAAGGAAACGTTCCGTGCACTTGATCCATTTACAGGATGAGCTATCTCTTTGGCGTAAGTAAAAATAAGAAATCGATGGAAACGCCTCTTCTTCTTTTTCTTTTTCTTCTTTTTCTCCTTCTTCTTCTTCTTCTTCTTCGTTCATCGTTATAACGTTCCTTGTTGCAAACCGTGTCTAAACTCGGGCAATGTGGTTGAAACGATTCTTACGTCACGGGAACGAAGACCGTTGGAGCAAACGATAACGGCAACGAGGAAACAAGAGCGGAAACCGCACTCTGTCAATTCAGGGTGCATGCCCGTTCGGATACCCGAATCGTTATTGTCATCGGTTGCAAAGACGGTATAACGTTGTTATTGTTGGACGTCGTTAGAAAACGTTGGGGACAATCGGAAAGGAATAATATTATCCTATAGCTTCCGCTTTCTTTTGCTCATTTCCTTTATTCTTTCATCTTTCTTTCGTCCCCGTCGAGAGGTTTATTAAATCGAGTTTAAAGGATTTGTCCGTTTGCATGCTTTTTATTCTTTTTTCTCTTGTTTGTCTCTTGGCGGAAATTTTGATTTATTCAAGAAACTTCCTTCCTACGAACAACTTTCGAGTGTTTCGAGTTTCGAATCACAGGGAAACAATTTCTTGAAGGATCTTTCGCTGTTTAATTTAATATTAATCTTCGTTTAATTTATTCATTTAAACGGGGGAAAAAAAAAAGAAATCTTTCAACGGATTATTAACAGATATATATATAAATTCGAATTTTATAAATATATTGTTGCAATTACTGTAAAACGAATATCGAAATTGTGACGTAATTAATTTCAAAGAATTACAATTGCACGATCAATCTATCGATTCATATGTCTTTATAAATTTTATATCGAGTCAATTTATGCCGAATTACTTTTAATTTAACGTTTTTTGTTTGGACCGTGTGTAGAAAGTACATATTTAAAAAAGCATATTTATACTTCCGCGATGCCAATTTTTCAATTTTCAAATCGTTGAGATAACGGTCGATTTAATATCCATTAAACTGCGAGGAAAGATCGTTTGCG